TATACGAGATTTAGTCCAAGAAGGCAAAATTCACTTAGAATTCGTAGGGACTGACTCTCAATGGGCATATATCTTCACTAAACCACTGTCTGTTGACAAATTTCTGCCTATTCGTCGAGAGCTAGGAATGTTTACCTTAGAAGAAATAGGTGAAATCTCTTAGGATTCTGTGACTCCTCGATTCTCTATCAATTCTTTCCACAGAAACTCTTATTCTCTCTCCATCACGATTAATCAGCAGTTACTTGCTGGCATATTAACGTGATTGATTCACTTACCTCATTCATCCCTCTTCCACCCTTATATATCTAGAGCATCACTCGGACTAAACACTCACTACAACTCCTCTTTTCACAAACAATGGCTTTTAACAACGCTCAGCTCCGCCCTGTTGTGGTCTTCAAGAATCAAGGCTTTCGCAATGCCATTGTCTACTCTAGGTATCTTCGTTGTTTTCGCGATAGACCTATCTATCCCTCATTCACCATCTCTCCTTCAGCCTTCAACAAATATGACATGGATATTCCCTCCCTCATTGCTGGATTGGGGTGGGAGTCGTTGACTGAGGATCAACACTTTCTCCATTGTCCTGAAGCCGTGCGACTATTCTATGTGAATATTCGTCGTGATCGTGGTCCTGAGCCAACTTCCTTCACAACCATGGTCTATGACCATGAAATTACAGTCACTCCTGACTTGCTTGCATCGGTTCTCTCCCTTCCTCACTCAGGGATCCATGCAAGTTATGAAAGTGATTTTGTTGATCACGGGTACGATTTCCTTGCTGCTCTTGATCTCCTGACCAGGGATATTGGCAAGGCCTTTCCAACTAGACTCTCCGCTGGTCGACTCCCTGACGATCTAAAAATTCTTCACTTCTTCATCACTCGATGCTTTCTTCCCAGAGATGTTGACAGTGCTGGTCTTCTCCACTCGGATGATCTTTGGATTCTGAGCAATGCTCGTGCGCGTAAACCCATCAGCTATGCATCCTTGATGTTTGCTCACATTCTCAAGTTTGGTGGTGGAGGTTACAATGGTGCTCTGCCCTTTGGACCCCTCATCACTCGTTACTTGCATTGCCTTGGCATAGATCTCCGGGATAAGGTGGCTGTTTGCAACGTCCATGACGACTTGCGCCCTAATCATGTCCTTGTCCGCCTTGATGCTGATGTGGGCCGTCGTAAGCTCGTCAAATGGGAAAGAATCAACAAATCAACCAAGACTGAAATGGAAGGTTTCAAGAATGGAAAGCTGGAGCAGATTTGTGGGAAATCAAAATCAATGTCCTGCAACGGCTAGCTTGAAGAGATGCAATAAAAAGGACGAGACAAACGAACTGAGGGTGAAGGGTTTTTCAGCAGTTCAAAAAGCAGTCCTAGGTTACAGAGTGAAATTGCTTTTTGAGTGAAAAACATCAGTGAAGCTAATCAGGGAGAATAGCTGTTAGTACTGAGGGTTATCAGGGAGATTGTGCTTCAGTAGGATCGTTTGATTGATAGGCAGGGAGCTAGTCAATTCAAACTTCGAGTCTGTAAAGAAGGAACCAGAACAGAGTTCTAGTAGTTACGTAGGAATCCTCAAGAGGAGAGATTCCTACCGTGGATTAGTCGATATTGGGATTCTTCTTCTCCCAATATCGGATACCACGTAAAAAGGTTTGTGCAGTGTGTGTGCTTTCTGTTTCATGCTTGGCTTGCTACTCTGTTTCTGTAACAGGTGTTCAGGTACAAGGAAGTCTTGCTTCAGGAAGCTCTCACCGGCGGATCAGAGGAAGAAGAAGGTAAAGGTGGGCTGCTTTGGTGAAAGCAGGCCTACAGTCTTTCACTTCGATATAAGGCCTTGGGCCGAAGCCCAGTATCCTCGAAGTTAAAACGACAATCCATTTTACATACTTCTGTTATTATACTAGGTTCATTGTCGTTTAATCAAAACTAAGAAAAACCACACTACGAACAATCTCACTCTTCACTTGCTCGAGCAAAATTGTCGATTAGGGTTTTGCATGTTCTCAATCTAAGCATCAGAGAAGCACTGGACTCGCGCTCGACCATCAATCCACACAATGTTACATGGATATATGATAGCTGATTTCTCCTGATGCAACTCGGCTAGGGAATAAAAGGGATAATTACAGAGAGATCCTTAGATAATAAAAACATGACAATTAAGGACACATAACACTTTTAGTTGTTCGATCAAATTTATTCAAAATCATGTAAAATTTTGATTGCCACAGAAAGCTCAGACTTAAGCCATAAAAAAGTATGCCCATGTAGAGCGATTTGCATGGTCAACGAACATGGCCCAATAACAATAACAATGACGAGAAACCATTGGTGAGGGGCCCCATAGGTTAGTATGAACAATATGAAATGGCTCTTTAATAACATTTGTGATGCTTGGGAAGGTAACACTAACGTATTTTTCTTCAATACAACTAGTGTAAGAATGATTTAAAGGTAAACTCACATTACGTTTTCCAAGTAAATCATTTTGACATAACAAGAAGAGGGCCGGAATTTGGATGGCCTAGTCGACTATGTCAAAGTTGTCAAACATTATTGGATTTCGGGTTCGGTCAGGTCGAATTATGGGTTATTCGGGTCAATCTATTGGATCATTTACTTCTTGACAGAAAATAATGTTTTTTTACAAACTATCAATATATGAATATAAATTGTAGGTAATGATACAAAATTTAAGAAAATGATATTATGATAATATTTTAAACATACAAATTAAATATCCATTATGTTAGTATAAAAACTAAATATAAATAAAATAGTGTATATAAAAGCTTTGTTGTTGGTTGTTATTTTTTGTTTATGGTAAGAGATTGTAACTTCATTTATTTTACTAATTTATAAAAAATTGAATAAGTAAACAATTGAGAATGAAGTAAAAAAGGTGGACTATATGCTTATACATCTCGAAATGAATCGTCTTAATTAAATATAGTATGAACTAGATGTTGTCTCTTCATTTCCACGAAAACTTATGAACATCATTCTGAATCACCCACTTATATATCTTCACAATTTTTTATATATTCACGGTAACATCTCATCCTAAAACTCATGGGTCAAACAACTGTTCGCTCAAATATGATATTATCATCTAATTCGAATCGTCGATTTATTAATTTATAATAAATAAATAAAATCAGTAAAAAGTTGAAAATGAAGTAAAATGGGTAAACTATCCACTTATATATCTTGATAGGGATCATTGATTTTGGGGATTTCATTGATTTTCAAGGGTTGATTTTTTTATATAGTTATTGGTGGTGGAGATACGAATTTGTGTCTAACTCTTCCTATTATCTTCAAAAATTTATCCTTTGAATTTCATAAAATAAAAAATGAATGAAAAGATATTTCACATATTATTATTTTAAAAATTAAATATTTAAGAAAAAACCTCAATTTATACCATCAATTCTACAAATAATTTTCAATTATTATGAGAACAACAGTTCTTTCTTGGTAAATTGCTTCATCTGCGGCTAGCCACACCACGCACGATGTGGTGCGCTAACGCTGTCCGCTCTCAGGTTGGGGAGTAAGGGTCGGAGAAGGGCAATTACTCATTCTTAAAACCAGTTATAATATAATAATGTATACATTGAATTTTTGTACAAGCATTCGGGTCAAATGGGTTATTCGGGTTATTCGAGTTGGGTTCGGTTCGGTTACGGGTTATTTAGGTTATGAATCATTCGAGTTATAGATGGGTCGGGTTATGGGTTGGACCGGATAACGAGTTCATCGAGTTATGGGTTGATCGAATTACGGGTCAATTAGTTTCGGGTTACGGGTAGGTTTCGGGTGGTTGACTTTTTACCAAATCGGGTTACGGACGGGTTGTGGGTCGGGTGGGTTGGGAGGGTTAGTCGGGTCGGGTTCAATTTTGACAGCTCTAGTGATCTTGCACAAATGCAGGTTTTGGTCGATTTTGGAATTCAAGAAAAGTGTGGTACCTGTTGCGATTTACTGAAATGCAATTAAAATTTTACTAAAATGAGAATCTTTTTCTTCTTCTCTTGCATGATTTCCTTTACGAGTATATCAAATCAAACAAGGATTTTACGAACATATCTATAAAAGAAAAACACACAATTCTATACTAGTAACAACGTAACATCCACCACCTTTAGTGATGGCAATGGGGCGGGGCGGGGCGGGTACCTCAATTCCCATGCCCCGCCCCACGCTACTACGAGTCAGGGCAGGTAAAACCCGCGTGGGTACGGGACGGGTCAACCCACTCTTACATGTTGTTCAAAAAAAATACAAATAAATTTTACTTATTACAATAAAACGTAGGGAAAAACACTTTAAGAATGAAAAATATTGATAATATAATGGATAATTGAGCTTAAGAAGTTGAAAGATCGACTCTAACTAGTTGAATAAAAGTCAAAATAGGAGAAATATATATATAGATATTGTAAGAAATTGAGATAAAATGAGTCTAGAACGGGGCAGGGCGGGTCGGAAGTAGATACCCATGCCCCGCCCCACGCTACTGCGGGTCGGGTAATACCCGCCCCATCGCGGGTCAGGTCGGATAATACCCACGGGGCGGGTTGAAATTGCCATCACTAACCACCTTGTGTTATTAGCCTCTTAATTCTTAATAAAGTTTATTCATGTGATCAGCCCCATAGCTAGATCTGTTCGCCAAATCTAACAAGGAAGATAACGTAGATGTGGTTTCCCTTTTCGTTGAAGATTATGGAAGATGTGATGCGAGATCGTCAAACGTAGCACCTACAAATACAATGCATAGTTTTGCATAAATGAAGAAAAATAACATGGAGGGAATGAGCTGGAAAGCCTTGAAGGACGGGGCGCCGTCCCACACTCTCCCAAGTCTCAGCTGCGACTACTATTACTCGATTAATTGAATCTCTACTCTACCGTTTTTGTTGTGAACACACGGAGACGAGACGAGTAGCGTAAAAGTCAAAACCCCCCCGATGCCCAAAGAAAATAAAACCCCCGTCGATTGCGCAGCCGGTCAGTCAGTCACCTCTGCCCCACTCGGCACTCAATCAATGCACTCACGAGTCTCCCCCCTTCTCATGTTCTAAGCTGTAACTATAAGCCCACGCCCATTACTTCCTATCCTATTCCATTCGTTCCCCAGCGCTGCGCCAATTCCCCAAAAAATGGGCGGAGAAGAAGAAGGCGGAGGCGAGGAGTACCTGTTCAAGATAGTGGTGATCGGGGATTCGGCGGTGGGCAAATCCAACTTGCTCTCCCGCTTCGCCCGCAACGAGTTCGACGCCAACTCCAAGGCCACCATCGGCGTCGAGTTCCAGACCCAGCTCCTCGACATCGACGGCAAGGAAATCAAAGCCCAGATCTGGGACACCGCCGGCCAGGAGCGCTTCCGTGCCGTCACCTCCGCCTACTACCGCGGCGCCGTCGGTGCCCTCGTCGTCTACGACATCACCCGCCAAACCACCTTCGACAGCGTCACCCGCTGGCTCCAGGAACTCTCCAGTATGCATATATCCTCATTCCCCAGCTCTATTCTCCCCCTCTCTCGCTAATCTTGAATCTCTTGATTGATTAGTTGGAATTTAATCCATCATATTTGCAGTGCACTGCGATACGACTGTGGGGAAGATGCTGGTGGGGAACAAGTGCGACCTGGACGACATACGGGAAGTGAGCAAAGAGGAAGGCAAGAGGGTGGCGGAGGAGCAGGGGCTGTTTTTCATGGAGACTTCTGCCCTGGATTCCACCAACGTCGAGGCGGCGTTCGAGGTGGTGATCCGAGAGATTTACAACAACCTCCGCCGGAAGGTTTTGAGCTCCGACTCCCACAAGCCTGACTTGAGTGCTGCCAACACCGTCTCCCTCCTCAACAATGGTGCCGCCGGTCGCAGTTCCTATTGCTGCTCCTCCTCTTGAGATGAGATGAGATGAGATGAGATGAGACCAACCCACCCTTGGCAACAATTTCGTATCCCCCATTTTCCGGAATTTCTAACTCTTTGTCTTTGAGGAGGACGGAGGATTTAACTTGCTACTAGAACAGGAATACTGTTCATTGTTCAGCAAGGCGGCAACATCTTACACGTTTGAAACTAAATGCTCTAGTATAGGCTCAAACTCTTTCTAATGTTGGCTGGGTGGCTTGCTAGAAAGTCCCACACTTGTGGGCTGTGTACTGAAATTCGAGTTCCAAATTACTCTTAAGATTGGCTACTAGTACTTGCTGTTTCATGGTTTACGCCACGATCAGGGAGCGTACCTACTTGTGATGCAAGTGTATCAAGCGACACACTTCTGCCTGAGATTTTTTCTAAAAGACCGTTCAAATTATTTGGGGTATGATATTACTGCGCAATTTACAAATAGACATACAGTGAGTGACTTTATCAACCAATGGAGGCTTCATCTTTTCTACCATGCATGAATGGACCTACATTTACAGTAATCGCGCTAGTCTAGAATGGCAATCAAATCAATAAATGTCAAGCTGAGAAATGGAATGGAGGATACATAGAAATATGAACTACTCGCCAAGTATAGTGAGTCAGGGCTTCCGGAGAGCAGAGGCAGCCCCCATCACCACAGCTAACACTAACCCAAGACCAGCACCCACAGAAGCACCCACCGCCGCAGCTGTCATTGACGACTCCTTTGCCTCGGATCCTCCACTTGCCCCCAATGCCTGCTCTCTCACTAACTCTGCCAACAACCTATCTCGAGCCAGCTCCTACAACAACACAACAACCACATCAAACACGCAGCACCTTCTTTTCAGTTTGCTGCATTCGAAAATTCACCTACCTCAAGAGCAGCCTCTTCATTGCTTTGTAGCACACGCTGGACAAGCTGACAGAGGGAGCTGACACCGTCGACGGGAATCACTGTATCTCTTCTCTGAAACGGCCTACGAACAAGATTGATGGGGGAGAAGAAAAGCCTTTGACCGCCCACTTTCCCTCTAGAGTCTCCACCAATCGCAGCCCATGGGAGAGGAGCACTTCCACCAGCACCAGACAACACGTAAGGACACGAATTGATAACTTCTGTGGAGCTTGGCGAGGCTTGGTATGCCTGCAGAACGGCATCAATTGCTGCCTTCTGCTGGTGTGCACTGACTGAAAATTTGTTAGTTATGGCAAGAACCCATGGTATTCCAAGAGCTTTCGCCTCCTCTAACAAAAATCCAAGGACAGGCTGTTGCTGCAATGTGGCTGGGTCACTAATAGATCGGGGGATCTTGTGGGAGAGGTTGTGCACAAGAACTATCAAATCTACTTTCCTACTAAGATCGCGAATTCCTGTCCACAGCTCGTCCCTAAATCGAGAAACCTCCATATTCAGATCCTGTGATGCAAAAGGAAAAAGATATTAAAAGAGAGGCATGGGCACATGGTCACTCAAAGCTGGAAAAAGGTAGGTGTTTTCTTGATTGCTGGGGTACAAATCGTGTTTGGGTGGGATATAGCCCCTAAATTAAGAATAGGGTTCAGCTTAGGATGTGCAACCCCACCAATTTCTAATCAGAAAAGTTACAGGCAGGAATACAGTAGTATATGGGGTGTGCTTGTTTTCAGCTTTATAAAAGAAGTCAACTTAAAGAAAAGAATGAGCTTAAAAAGCTAGAATAATCACACTTTTTCAATCTGATTTTTGCAAACAAATATTCATGATGGACCCCAAAAATAACTCGAACATTTTATTTCCAACTTTATCCCTTTGGAGAAATATATATTCTTGAAGTTGTATCTGATATCCATCGATTACTTTTGTATTCCCAATAAGTATATGATACCCAATTAACTCAACCTTTCTAAGATATCCTATTCCCAATAAGTATATGATACCCAATTAACTCAACCTTTCTAAGATATCCTATGTCGCTTATTCTCAGCAACACCTAAAACAAACACACTACAGGTCTTTCCAATAAAATAATAAAAAATAAAACAAACACACCAATTGAGAATAATACCTGCAAATTTACACCAGACGAATCACAATAGCATAGTCCCCCAGCAATGCCCTCTTGAACATCAGCCTCCATGAGCATGTTGTCAGAATTCGTGATTGCAGTAATTCTGCCTTTATTCATTATGGCCTTGAACAGCGATGTCTTACCAGCACCCTAAAATCAAATGAGTCCTTAGTAAGAAAGTGAGTATCTGGATGAACCTTCAAAAGAGCAGGATGAGAAATGACAAACGAACTTTACTACCTCCAGGCCAAGTAATCGAACTCTTCGCGTTCTAACATGAACCTCCTTTGTAACAGTGGTAAAATCACTCGTGCAAAATATGGAAAAATCAAGTAAGGCTTCTGGACGGAGGGTCTTTTCCTGGTGTCGAAAACTATGCTCACCATTGAGATTGACATCAGAATTGATGGAAGAGAATAGAGGCATCAAGGAGTCTGCTGCGGCCACTATTGGTGGCCTTCTCAACGGAGCTCCTACAAGGACCCTTATCTTTTGTAATTCTGGCTGCTTGCCTTGAGTGGAGGAGTAGGTGGGTGCCGAAGGAAATGACTCCACCGTAGTTGAACACCTGGTAAAAAGAATACTTATTAGGGATAGTTGTTAACTGATCTTTGCAGATTCCAAGTTCTAGACATAACCAATTTCCCCTATTCAATTAACAAGGTAATATGGGTATTACATCACATTAGAAACCTAGACACTATCAGAAGAGCTTATAGAAGATTCTTTTAACTTTATTTTTTTAAAAGCATCAACACGTCCTTAGATTGGGTGCTGAGCAAAATTTGCAAGAACATACAATTAAACGAATATACAATTGTTTGTTGACAATTTTCATATATTTGACATTGCACATGTAATCTCAAATGCCTGAAAATGACAATCTCAAAATGATGCAATCTGAAATACCATTGTTTGTCCTCAATTTGTAAACCAGCTAAGACTTCATGAAAATTAATCAACAAAATGAGCCAGGGGGCCAAAGGAGAAAGGACAGTACCAGTTACCATTCACTTGAGCGTGAACCAGGGTGCAAAGGTGCAATCCAAAACCGGTGATATCAACTTTCAAGGGCTGTACATTCTTCTCACCAGGAGTACCACTCCATCCAAGAGGAAGAATTGAAGTAGCAGTACGAATAACAGGGGACTCAACAATCTGAGCAAGCGTCACAGTACCTGCTGCTGCAAGTCCAAGCCACTGTTGTAAATGTGGAAACTGTGTCAGTTGCTCCATCCCTGGGAATGCTGACCCACCTTCGCCCATGCACAAGTCATAAATTCTGCAGACAATTTAAAGTAATTTCATGTCACTAAAATCACTTTCATAGAAAATACAAAATTCTGACAAGTTAGGTTTTATTCTAGATAAGGCATAGAGCTACTAAGGTTTACAAAATCAAAAGTTCCCAATCACATTTTCAATGTCGTATAATTCCTCAAATAAGGAAAATTGGTGTTCCAAACTAGCCGGATAGGACAGAAACCCAAAAACATAAAATAAGAACAGTTTCTGCTGCTTGTATGTTGATGCAATAACATAATCCACTTATGTAATCCTTATTCCATTAAGGAAATAAGAAGAGAAAAGAAAAACTACAATTCAACTTCTGCGCGTTCCAAAGGGAAACGTGGTATGTGTATTCCATACATATACCTTTGAAATCGTGACCTATATGCCCTCATTGAATGTGATTGAAATCGTTCCTTTAGTTCAGCAAACACAGATCCAACCTGGAAATGTCTTTGCCAGTATAAAGCAAACAAAATGAGGGATCATATGCCTGAAGCTAAGACATTAAAAGTCTAAATCTTCTGTAAATAGAAAAAATACCATAATTACCACACAAAAAAAGACCATAAAGTTTCACGGAAGGTCATACCGACGTCAATTTTGAGTATTCTGCACCTGATAGCAATTCCACTGACGAATTTTCCAGGAGATATAGCTGGTACAAAAAGACACATTTGTTATAAATCATACATGCCACTTGTTTTCAAAGGACTCGTTCTTAATTGAAGATGTTTCTGAGCAATTTGCAGAAGAAACCTAAAAATTTGACCTCACCTATTCATTCTAGAAAGAACCTGTCAATCAAGACCTATGCTACTGGTGGAATTTTGTTTGCACTGAAGAAGAATGGCCCACATTTTGAATTAAACATGAGTTCACAATTTTATCTTGATTTCATACCTCACCAAACGGAACATATGAAGGTAAATAAGGTACTCTCTGCCAGCTCCTCCTGCCTCCATTTTTTCTGTCAGCCTTCTCAGATAAGTTATCAGCCACAGCTTCATCTTGTTTCCCATTGTTAACCTCAGATAATGGTTTAAGTGATATACCATCAGAACCCTCTTGGATTTCAAGAGATTGTGGTTCATCTATTACATCCTCAATTGAGGGGGTCAAAGTTGAAGTAGAGGCTGCCGATCTCTCTTCGCTATCAACTGGCTTTCCTGTGTACTTATTGAATTGCCTTCTTATACCCTCTAAAGGAACAAGCCTAGAAAGTCTCCAAAAGGAAGTCTGCACAGGCCCTAGCCCGATAACCAGTTGCTCCCCCTTGCTATCTTTCTGCTTGTTTTCCTTTGATTTTTCTATTCCTTCTTCTTCTTTCATAACAGGTTGACCAGTAGCATCGATCTCAGAACGCCTTGATGAAGACTGTGCATTGTAATGATGAAAGTAAGCAGGAGAGAGGAAACGAGGCACTATATCTTCAGGAATGCAGTAAGTCTTGAAATGGTGCTGCCAACCCTTTTCATGTACATAACTGCAAAGGGCAATCGAGAACCAAGTTAAATGAATAAGGGTCCACATGTTTCATGTGAAAACAAACTAAAGAGAGCAAGGCTAGCAGTCTTTAGCATGCACAGCAAAGGACAAAATAGTACGTACTCTCTTAAAGCAGCATTGCCAACTGGGGGTTGGGAAAATGTTATGCATTTAACCTGAACTTTCTCATGCTCTTTTGATGGTGAAGAGGCAGCAATGACTCTAAGAATAGCAAGGGTAGCTAGGGCTGCTACCTGAAAAGGAAATAAAGATACACGAATGACAATTGGAGAAATGAAAAGGAAATCAATTGCACAATGGAAAAGGATGTTATGAAATTTACAGCTCCACCAAGTGAATGTCCACATAAAACAAGCTTTCGATTCTTCTTTTGAGCTAGCTTGTATAGCTCTAAAGCAGGTATCCCCTTAGCACGAGCCAAGAATCCCTAGACAGAAGTTGCACAACAGGAAATATATCAAGAATTGAGAACAAGTAGTCAGGGTGTAACTTTATTATAGTAGCTGATCAAGATGCCATAGACTTAAGCAGACACAAAGCATGAATCTAATCTGCCAGCTTACCCTATGTGCAGCAGGCTTAGGCTGATCTTTTTGCTGCCTGGATTTTGACTCAACTGCAATTTTGTCATGTTCTCCACTAGCCTTTGGACGTTCAACTTTACCAAAATCAGCAGTCACTATTGAAGCAGTATCCTGTGTAGCATCCTCTTGAAATATGGCACCTTGAAAGATGTTCACATCGGCTACCACATCCCTGGTTACAGGTTGGACAGTACAATCCGTACTTAAAACTTCAGCACACTCCAAATATTAGACACATTAATTATGCCAATGCAAAGCTTACTTGTATTGTTTTGTACCAATGAAGGAAGCAAACAAGGTGTCACCTGCTTCAGCTAACAGGTACCTGCAGAAATTTGAATCAAGGAGAATATCATACAAATCAAATAACTTTGAAACTGACAGCAACCAAATATATAGAGAGCACAATGAGAGAAAGAACCTATGTGGAACGTGGTCTGAAGAGGGTTGGACACGTTCCAGAGAAACAACTTGTCCTCCAAAGTCAGCCTTAAATTTATTTACAGCTCGAACCAGTTCAGTAGCAGGTCTCTGCCAAGCAAGAAGCACGCAATCAGACGTGAATGTAAACGTTTTTCTTCTCTCCAGATAAATAATATCGATCACTCCGTTGCCGAGAACTTTTGCCACAACATTGGAACTTATTGGTACAGTTTAGTCGATAAATTATGGCAACAGACAGAAGCTTTTACGAACCAATTCCCTATAGTTATGGACAGGTAATACTGACATAATACCTTGCCCCAATCAGGATCCCAGGAAAGGAACTTGTTTACGATCACAGCTTTTGATACCCCAATCAAGCAGGAAATTATTGTGCATAAAACACAGGAGAACCCCCTACTGATACAAGCTATTCAGCAGTATAAGTAATTGTTATCCGCAAAAAGTGTAGGGAACAGCATTAAACTGACATGACAAGTATCTGCATTATGGCTATACTTCATGAAAATGCATCAGCAATCTCTTCGTTCTTATCCACACCACTCACTCCTCTTCCTCTCTTCAGAAACCGAAACCGAATTATAGAAACGAAAGCAACAGGCGGGAGAGCTAGTAGTTACCTTGTAGACGCACTCGGCGAGAACCATGCAACAGAGGATGTCCTGCAAGTCGGAGATGGAGTCGGCCTTCACGGCGAGGCAGAGATCGTGGAGCTGGCGCTTCCGAAACTCGTACTCCTGATGAATCTTCTTCCTCTGCTCTCTGTCGTCGTTAATCCATGGCGGCCACTTCATCCTCCAGTGAAGCGGACCCCACGAAACCTTCAAGATCTTTGCTCTCTGGTCGCTGATCCACGACTCCACTCGGCGCTGTATAGACTCCATTGGAGAGGGAATTGAGAAAGAGAAAGAAGAGAGTGACGGAAACTATAAAACCCTAATTGAATTCCAGTGAAGGGAAGGAAAAACGCGCCAATGGGAATGGGGAAGGAGGCAGAAAGATGATTTGCGTAACCGAGTAAGGGAAATGGACGAGAAGGAAGTGGGACGGCGCAGAACTCTCAGAAGGGAATCCCAGCTGATTGGCCGAGGCATATGCTTCAGTATTTTCCAAATTTTCCGCTCCCAATTTTTTTGTTTTTATTTTTTACGGAATCCGCTCCCAATTTTCAGAAGTGAATCTGCTCGCAAATCGGAATGCTTTTTTTCCAGAAATAAACCTTTTTTCAAATATAAATCTCAAAATAGTGTTACCTGAAATTTCATTATCAAGTTCGGGTCCAGATCGGGTCAGTAGCTGATGGGTCAGTAACCCATCAGTCACTTTTTATTTAAATTATATGTGAAAAGGGCAGTACGGTAAAATTGCACTTACTCCTATTTATTGCTGATGCTCACTTTTGACCGGAGCATATCAAGTTCGGGTCCAGATCGGGTCAGTAACTGATGGGTCAGTAACCCATCAGTCACTTTTTTATTTAAATTAAATGTGAAAAGGGCAGTACGGTAAAATTGCACTTACTCCTATTTATTGCTGATGCTCACTTTTGACTGGAGCATATCAACGCCTCCTTCTGTCTCCTCGCAAAACATTTAATTTTCCTTCCGTTAATCTTTAACGGACGATTTCTCACTCGTTTTAAGTCGAAATTTAATTTTTTTTGCACAGTTAGATCAGATTAATTGTGCTCTTCAAAATGATATCCACTTTGATATTTTTTGGACACAAAAAAATTTGTCAATTATTACCAGTCTATACCATATGATATTGACTGTACCATATGGTATTGACTGATATTAAACAAGAGCATACCATATGGTATGGTAATATTTGCCACATGAATATATATTTCGTTACCACCCAATACCATATGGTATACTGTGGTAATATCAATATATATATTTCGTTACCACCCAATACCATATGGTATAGTGTGGTAATATCACACAAGTCACACAATACCATATGGTATAGAGTGGTAATATCAATATATATTTCATTACCACGCAATACCATACATTACCATAGGGTATAGTGTGGTAATATCAATATATATTTCATTACCACCCAATACCATATTGATATTACCACACAATACCATATGGTATAGTGTGGTAATATCACACAATACCATATGGTATAGAGTGGTAATATCAATATATATTTCGTTACCACGCAATACCATAAATTACCATAGGGTATAGTGTGGTAATGTCAATATATATTTCGTTACCACCCAATACCATATGTTATAGAGTCATAATATCGATATATATTATCTAAAAAGGAAAAAAACAGAAGAGGGAGAGAAAATAAATCGTCTTCTGATGCCTCTCATTTCCTCTTCCTCAATCAAGAACACCAAAATGCCAAAAAAATGAGAAAGATCGGAACTGAGTGCAACGAGTTGATGAAGAGAAGAAATGCAATGAAAGAGAGTGGCTACAATTTTTATGCTAGAGAAAAAAAATGAAGAAGGAAGAGAGCAGATTTAGATTTGAAAAGAAGATTGTGAGAGAAAAAGTAAGAGAGAAGGAATAGAGAAAGAGAAAGGATCTGGACAGAGATTGAAAAAAAGGAAGAGAGAAGGAAGAAAGTTGAGTTGCAGAGAAGGAAGATTCTCTCTCTTTCATTGAAAAGCCAGCCATTGAAATGCGGAATAAATAAAAAAATTAAAATACAAAAACGGACAAAAATGCCCCTCCCCACCCAACGTCCAGCCCATCCACACGATTTCTCCATCCCCAGATCTATGGCCCGCGTGTAGTTACTGATGGGTCAGTAACCAGTGGTTACTGACCCTATCTTGGACCATCAAGTTCGGCTTGAGTAACTAAATCTGAACCTTTAGATCTAAGTAGAAAAGAAAAAGAAAGGCAGATAAAAGAGTTCCTCTGCTAGGAATTCCAATCGACCCAGCCCAGCCTCTTCCTTTTAACTCTGACTGCCTTGCTTTTTCTCCAGGTTTGATCGCCCGTGAAAAATAGAGGAAGAAACAGGTGAGGCGCCGACCAATGGAAGCAATATTGGCGGGAAGCAAAAATATAAATGAAAGGGAATATGATTCTCCAAGGGCAGCGGTGGATCGCCCAGAGCCACCTCGCAGTGAATGAACATTCTTAGCTGGAACTGTAGGGGGTTTGGGCAACCCCTCATCAGGAGAGACTGTAGCCGGCTTTGCCGAAATTTCCGCCCGTCGTTCCTCTTCCTCATGGAGACGAAGCAGGATTCAGATTTCATGAATGATGAAAGACGAAAGACAACTTTTTCAGGATCGGAGTATGTAGAACCTGCAAAGGGCTATAGTGGGTTATCATTATGGTGGACAGTAGGGGTCGATTTCCAAGTTTTGGATTCCTGTAAAAACTATATTGATGGCTTAGTTAGATGTGGTAGTTAGTCTTTCTTTTGCACGTCTACTTCGTCAATGAGCAGAAGGGAATTCTGGGATCACCTGAGCACCATCCGGGACAGCTCGGAAGATGCATGCGTGATTGTGGGTGACATAAATGTAGTTGTGTGTGATTCAGAAAGGAGGGAAGATGTCCTCTACGTAATGAGAATGTCCAACCTTTCAAGTACTTTATCTCGCGAAATGGCCTAATTGATCTCCGCTACAATGACCAAATATTCACATGGTCAAACCGGCACCAAGGGACAATCTCATTAAGGAAAGACTTGACAGAGGGTTGTGCTCAACCTCATGGAGGATTTTGTTCGATAATGCAACTGTGTTCCACGAGGAAATGATTCAATCTGATCATAGCCCGCTGAGAATTGAATTGCACTACAAGGAGAGAAGACACAAAACTCCCTTCCGGTTTGATAAAAGATGGAAAGACTCTGGAGAATGTGATGAAATTATCACAAGGATCTGGAATTCAGGAGGGGAGTCGGAACAAAAGCTGAAAAAGTGTCAGAATGAAGTAAGGGAATGGGCGAAAGTAAAAAGAAAACAAAGTCTGGCTAGAGAAGGAGAAATTCGACAACGTCTAGTCCAACTTCAAGGACCTACGATACTCCAAACAGGTATTGAGGAGGAAACAACACTAATTAATGAGCTTGCAGGGATATGGAAAAGCGAAGAACAATTCTGGACTTAGAGGTCTAGTGTCCAATGGCTGAGTGAAGGTGACCAGAACACTTCTTTTTTCATGCTTCTACAGTGGGACAGAGGAATGCTAATAAAATTTTGAGACTGAAGGATAACGCTGGGTTTTGGATTGAAGATGAAACCACTCTCAAGAACCATTGCAGGAACTACTACAAGGATCTTTTCACAAAGCGTGATATGAGGGAACTGGATGACTTGGTTTCGTCCTTCCCATCCATTGTCACCCAGGAAATGAACGTCCATCTATGCAACCCACTTGAGAATGATGAGATTAGAAGGGAGATGTTTCAGTTGGGGCACTCTAAAGTCCCGGGGCCGGATGGTTTTCCCGGATTTTTCTTCAAGAAATATTGGGGGCTTGATTGGGAATGATATTTGTGACGAAGTGAGGAAGTTTTTCAGATCGGGAAGAATGGCAGAGGGGTGGAATAAGACGTTCATAACCCTGATGCTCAAAGTGGATGTCCCTGAAACCATTGCTCAATTCATACCAATCTCATGCTGTAACTTCAGATATAAAATCTTATCAAAGATCATGGCTACGATGTTACAAAAATGACTCCCCATTATGGTGTCAGAGCTCCAATCAGCATTCACTGGAGGACGTTAAATACAAGATAACATTATCATCGTCCACGAGGTTCTTAACCACTTTAAGACACACAAGTTTGGCAATAGAAGAGATATTATGCTAAAATTGGATATGCGGAAAGCATATGATCTGGTTGATTGGGACTGCATGGACATTCTTCTGCAAAAATATGGCTTCAACTCAACTTGGTGTGGCTGGGTTAGTGAATGTGTCGCACAGTGAGTTTCTCGATGCTTTTCAATGGGGAACTGACGCAGGAGTTCACCCCGTCAAGAGGAATTCGACAAGGCGATCCCCTGTCTCCTCTACTGTTTATCCTCATGGCTAATGCGCTAACTTTCCTGATTGATAAGTCTGTCGAGAGTAACAGAATTAAAGGCCTACGACTGAATCCGAGGTGTCCTCTCCTCACTCACTACCTCTTTGCAGATGACACATTCATTTTTTGTAAGGCAACTACGGAAGAAGGATTATGCATTATGCAGATCATCAATGAGTATGGAGCAATTACGGGGCAGGAGATTAATACACAAAAATCTTCAATCTTCTTTAGTCTAACAACACAGAGGAAGAGAAAGACAATATCTGACTGGCAATGGATTTCTCGGAAACAAACACACTCTAGCTATTTGGGTGTTCCTACAGAATGGGGTAATTCAAAAAAGGGGACTTTAGCTTCCTTATTCACAGGATGGAGAAGAAAGGGGAAAACTGGCAAAGTTTGCTTCTGTCTCCTGGAGGAAAAGAGATTCTCATTAAGTCAGTCCTTCAAGCTGCAATCTTTCATGTTCTTGTTCCTCCTCCCAGCAACGATCACCAACAAGATGGACGTTCTTGTTAGGAGATTCTTCTGGTCAAGTTCTCTCCATTAGAAAGTGATCCACTGGTGCAAAGGGGGAACACTGCTGTTAAGAAAAGAAGAAAGGAGAATTGGGTTTTGGTCTTTCAAAGATTTCAACATTGCGCTGCTCATGAGGCAATGCTGGAGACTCCTCATCAATCCTGACAGTCTATGGGATAGGCTGTTGAAGGCTCTGTACTTCCCACGATCAGACTTTCTACAAGCAAGAAAGGGCTCAAGAGCCTCGTGGATTTGGTCGAGCATTTGGCAGGCCAAAGAATACCTTGATAGGGACACTTTAAGAGTCATTGGGAATGCCAGATCAACTAATATTTATCTTGAGCCATGGATAAATTCTCTCCAGGGAGGAAGGGTAATTCAGGATTCTCCCCTTCCCACCAAAGTTGCAGAATGGATCGACCAATCCCATAAGGTTTGGGATGCACAAAGGTTGGATTGCTTCACCATAGCAAACGAAAATGTAGCCATTAGGATTATTTCTATCGGCCATGAAGAAGTTCCGGACTGCTAGGTGTGGAAACCTACAGTTGATGGACAGTTCTCAGTCGGGTTAGCTTACCGATCAGTGAATCTACACAGCAGAAGAGGGACTGCTGCTGTTTTTTTCTTCATATGAGGAGAGGGAGAAGTGGAGATGCTCTAGCCACAATAATAAAGCTTCATTCTCGAAATTACTCTCCATCGAGTATGTG